TTGGTCCTGCTGCCCCTTGAGCATCTGCAGCTGCTGCAGAACCAGGCATTTCATCAGCAAATGTGCAGCTGACACCAAGCTGGGGGTGTGTTGATGTGCTGAAGGCAGGAGGGCTCTGCAGAGGGACCTGGCCAAGCTGGATCCATGGGCTGATTCCAAGGGATGAGGTTCCAGCAGCCCAAGGGCCGGGTCCTGCCCTTTGGCCACAAGAAGCCCCGTCAGCCCCCCGGGCTGGGGCCAGAGTGTCTGGAGAGCAGGCAGGCAGAAAGGGAGCTGGGATGGGGATGGACAGGAAGCTGAAGAGGAGGCAGAGTGTGCCCAGTGTGATGTTAGAAAAGCAGAATAAGTTCTAGGATGGTTGTAGAAGGAGAAAGAAGCCCCCAGGCCAGTGCAGGCAGGCAGCCCTCAGCTTGCACCTCATGTCCCCTCCCTGCAGGTTCCTGTCCTTGAGCCCAGGCCCTGAGGTGAGGCTGAGAAGTGGCCCAGAGGTGAGCCCAGAGCTGTCCCTGAGGTGAGGCTGAGAATAAGTGCAAGGCAGAGGTGCTGCTGAGGAAGGAGAGCCCCGTGGTGGGGAAGGCACAAAGCTGTGTTTGCCCATCCCCGAGCAGGTGCTGTGTCCATCCCCTGTGTGCCAGGTGAGCTGGGGCTTTGCTGCAGAGCTGCGGGCGCTGATTTGAGCGGCTGCAAGTGCTGAGCTGGTGGCACCCAGGAACACAAACTGTGCCTGGCCACGGAGCCTGCAAGGAGGAGCAGAGACAGCCCTGGCAGTGTGGGGGGCCAGGTTGTCCCTGTGCCTTCCCCTGCAGGCCCTGGCTGTCCCTGCTGGGCCCCTGTCCATCCCCATCAGGTCCCTGCCCGTCCCCCCCGGGCTGAGCTCCCCCCAGGAAGTGCCGTGGAGCTGAAGCTGCTGCCATCCCCCCCCTGCAGCCGCTGCCCCAGCCAAGGGAGCAGCAAAGGCAGGGCCAGGAGCAGAGGCAGCAGCAGGGGAGCCCTGGGGGGGCCGGGAAGCTCTTGTGTGGGGCAGGAAAGAGGCGCTGGGCACGAGGCCGGGGCTGTGCTGAGCAGGCCCAGCCCTCACATCCCCCCAGCCAACGCCGGCTGCCCGGGGGGCTTGGGAGGGACCCCCAGCCCGTGTGCCCCACACTGAGCTGGCAGAGAGAGAGCCAAGGGACAGGGATGTGGGCAGGGCCACGGGTGAGGGACAGGCAGGGCCATTGCAGGGCCACGGTGAGGGCACAGCCTGTGGCAGCAGAGCTGCCCAGGGCCGGGGGCAGCCGGGGGTGTTGGTACCAGGCAGTGCTGGGGCTGAGCAGAGCACGAGGCCCCTTGCAGAGCCCTGGAGCAGCCTCCCACTTGCCAACCCCACCCTGGTGGGGTGACACTGTCCCCTCCCTACAGCACACTCCTCCAGAAATCTTTGGTGGGGGGCATTTTGTGTGTATTTCTGGTTGCTGATTCCTGTTGGGGACGTGAGGGACCCTCTGCAATCCCATCCATGGGGCACAGTCTCCTCTCCAGAGCTTGACTCACTGCAACCTTTGCAGGGAAATCTGTACTGGCAACCTGAGTATGTCCTAACCCCCTGCACTCCCCCCAGGATATTTTGGACAAGTTTCCCCTTCCCGGGCACTCGTGGGATGGGGGGTGATTGTTCTCCTGCTGTTGCTGCTCCGCCCCTGTCCCTGCCCTTCCTGCCGCTGTCGGGTGAGCGGAGCGGCCACGATGGGAAAGGGGCGAGAGAAGCGAAAAGAGCGGGTGGGACCCCCAAAGGGAGCACAAGGGGCTGTGGGTCACCCCCAAAGGGAGCTGGGGGGAGCCGGGGTTTGGGGGGCCAGTGGGAAAGGGGCGGGAGAGGGGGCTAAGGGGAGAGGGGACAATGGGAGCAGGGTTACCTTGGCGGTCCCTCCGTGTCCCCATGCCTTGATCCCTGGAGAGCAGGGGCGGCTGGAGAGAGGGGGGAGCTGCGAGAGCCCCAAGAGCCTGGAGAGAGGGTAGCTCGGGCCCCCTGTGCTGAGCCAGCAGTTGGGGCCCTGCTGGTGGTGCCAAATTGCCCCTGGTCAGGCTGAACCCAGAGTCTGCCAACCTGTCAGGGGGCCCGATCCACAACTTGCTCTCGTTGCCCTGGGGCAGCCTCTGGTGTCCCCCCCACCTGTGGGGCTGTTTGGTTGCCTTGGGCACAGCTGGCCCTTGTGCAGGGCTGTGCCCCTGGGGGCTCTTGGGGGTGGGCAGGAGGTGTTTTTTGGGGGTGCCGGGCTGGGTTGGTGGCAGAGCCCCAACGCTGGGCGGGGGGATGCGAGTCCCCCCCTGTGTTGGGGGTTGGTGTTGCTGGGTCAGGCCCCGCCGACTCCATTGTCAACCTGGTGCCGGTGGGGGGGACACAGCGGTTTTGGGGCCCCCTGGGAGTGCCGGGTGTGGGTGTGGAGCCCGGGAGCTGCTGAGTGTGGAGGGCGGAGCGGGGTGATACCAGAGCTGGGGGACCCCTGCCAACCTGGAGGGGGGAGCATGGAGAGGGAGGAGCTGGGGGACCCCCGGCAGCCTGAAACGGGGGGTGCGGAGAAAGGGAAGCCTGGACAGTGGGGACCCCTGGAATCCCCGGGACAACAAGATGGAGAACCTGGAGAGGGGGAATGTCTGGGAACGCGGCACCCTGAAGGCGAGAGTCAGAGGAGAAGGGACGCTTAGGATCCCCAACACTCCCAGCATCCCTAAGTGGGAGCCCCAGCATCCCAGACAGGGGAGACCCTCTGAACCCTAGAGGGTAGAGACCAGAGAGGGAGAACTTCTAGGAAAATGTTTTGGGGGTAACCTTCATATTTTGGAGTATTTTTTGACTGGATCTTAACTTTTTGCAGTTTGGGGGGGTGAGGGTCTTCTTGCTATTTCTGAGGGATTTTTTTCCTGAATCTCAGTGGTTGGGGTTTTTCTGGACTGAATCTTCTTGTTTTGGAGGTTTTTATGGACACAGGATGCCCGGTGAGTTCTAGAGATGGACTTGGGCAGGAGGAACCCCCAAGCCAACACACTCAGCCCTTGTTTTCCCCCATCAGGATTTGTCCTTCCCAAAGCTTGGGCGGATGGAGGAGGAGGCTGCGAGGAAGAGGAAGATGCCTTGGGCCCCCCAGGCAGGTGAGGAGGAAGTCAGTGGCCCTTTGGGCGGGTGTTGTGCTGGCTCTGTCAGCCGAGCATGGCCCCGGCTGCAGGACAACCCCGCTGCCGCCGCCGTCCTGCCGGGGCCGGAGTTGGGGGGATGTCCTTGGCCTTCCCTGTGGGCCGGAGGCAAATCCCCTCCCTGTCCTTCTTGCTTCCTGCCCCAGGCCCCGAGCTGAGGACGGAGAGCCCGGAGGACAAATCCCCCCTTGAGAGCCTGGTGGGAGAGGCCGTTTTGAAGGGCTCCCCGGCGCAGGAAGGCAGCGGGGAGGAAAAGGGCCGGAGATCCCCCCGCAGGAGGGACTCCAAAGCCAACCCAAGCTGCTCTAAAGAGGAAGTACCCAACCTGTGCCAGGAAGGCGGCCGGAGCTTGAGGCGGAGCTCTGACCTGGTGGTCTCTGAGCAGCCTCCCGGCAGAGAGAAACCCTTCAGGTGCTTGGAGTGTGGGAAGAGCTTCAGCCTGAGCTCCAACCTCTTCAAGCACCATCTCATCCACACTGGAGAATGGCCCTACACATGTAGAGAATGTGGGAAGAGCTTCAGTTACAACTCTACCCTCCTCACCCACCGTCGCATCCACACCGGGGAACGGCCCTACACATGTGGGGAGTGTGGGAAGAGCTTCAACCAGAGCTTCAACTTCCTCACCCACCAGCACATCCACACAGGGGAACGACCCTACACGTGTGGGGAATGTGGGAAGAGCTTCAGTGACAACTCTAACCTCCTCGCCCACCGTCGCATCCACACAGGGGAAAGGCCCTATACATGTGGGGAATGTGGGAAGAGCTTCAGACAGAGCTCCCACCTCTGCAAACACCAGCGCATCCATGGTGAACAGCCTTACACATGTAGGGAATGTGGGAAGAGCTTCAGTGACAGCTCCACCCTCCGCACCCACCAGCGCATCCACACCGGTGAACGTCCCTACAAGTGCTTGGAATGTGGGAAGGGGTTTCAGACCAGCTCAGATCTTCTCAGGCACCAGCGGGCACACACAGGGGAGAGGCCCTTCCGCTGCACCAACTGTGGGAAGGGCTTCAACCGGAACTCCTACCTTGTCATCCATCAGCGCATCCACACTGGGGAGAGGCCCTACAAGTGTGGGGAGTGTGGGAAGAGCTTCACTGACAGCTCTGCCTTCAACAAACACCAACGGACCCATCGGTAAGAGTAGCACTACCAGTGCCCCAACTGCAGGAAGAGCTTCGACCGCTACTTCCACCCCGAATGAACTCCCTGATGGGGAGGCAACCCCTGGAGTCCAGTGACTGTCAGTCCATCCCTTTCAACCACAAAGGGCCAGTCCCCTTTCCCAGGGGCAGCTTCTTCCAACAGAACCCTTCTTGGGGGGGTGTGTGGAGATTCCTGCCTTGGCTGGGGATCCCCCAAGGTCACTCCTGGAGGTTGAGAGCAGAGATCTCCCCACGAGCATTGGTCTGGGGGAGTTACATCCATCTCTAAATAAGAATTATTTCTTTTTGCCAGCTTTAGTGGAATTGCTTCAACAATTGCTTTAGTGTAGAGCATTGTCCTATCTTATCCTGTACTCCTGGTTGTTTTAGTGTTTATAATCATCATGACTGGGCTTTGCAAAAGAAGATTTGGGAAGGACTCTACTCATTTGCTGCAAGCGCACTGGTGGCTCAAAAAGGCCAATGTGAGATAGACAAGTCCAGTTGCAAAAGGCACAGCAGAAAGACTCCTTGGATGGTATCGACAAGACACGGTTCTTTCTGCGTTGTGTTTTCTCCTTGAGAGTGAACCTGTATGTGTTCTCAAAAGAAGCAGCAGCGTTATAGATGAGGTGTCTCCAGACCTCCTGATTGGAGGCCAGAGTAGACCAGTGATGACGATCTATATGACCAAGGCTGAGATGTTGTTTCAGGGAGTCCTTGTATCTCCTCTTCGGGGCTCCTCTCATGCAGCAGCCAGTGGCAAGTTCACCATGAAGCACGATCTTAGGGAGATGGTGATTCTTCATCCTGGAGATGTGCCCTGCCCAGCACAGCTGTGTTCTCAGCAACATGGCCTCAATAGTTGTGATTGCTGCTTGTTCTAGAACAGACACATTAATCACAGAATCTGGCCGGTGGATGTTTAGGATTGTACAGAGACAGCGTTGATGGAAGTGTTCTAAGAGTCGCAGGTGGTGGCGGTAGATGACCCATGATTTAGACCCATATAAAAGAGTACAATGGCTGTGTAAATGCTGGTCTTTGTACTTTTCTTCAGGTGTTTATTTCACCAAACTTTTATGGAGTCTTCCAAAAGCTCTCTATGCCTTTGGTAACCTGTTGTCTATCTCTTTGTCAATCCTACTGTCCTAGATAATTAAACTGTTGGACTGATTTGAGCTCTGATTTGCCAGTGGTGATGTGGGGATGATGGAAGACTTCCTGAAGTGCAGGTTGATAGAAAACTTTTGTCTTCTTCAGGCTGACTTCTAACCCAAAAAGCTCAGCAGCCTCTGCAAAGCAGGATGTTAAACGCTGCAGAGCTGCTTCTGTGTTGGAGATGAGGGTGTCGTCGTCAGTGTAAAGCAGCTCCCGGACAAGATGGTTTAAGGTCTGTGGTGGAGGGAAAACGGTTTTCCCCCTGAAGCTATAAAATGGTAAATCCCCAGGGGGTGGTGACCCTTGAAGTTTCGAGCCAATGAACACTTCTGCAAAATATATACGTATCACAAGCAGAACGGAAGAGAAGGTAGTTGTAGTTGTTATTGAAGAAGTAGCCATGTTGTAAAGCCACCAGAAGTGAGGGCAGGAGCCCCCTGGGGGGCTCTGGCCCCCCAGCCCCCGGCTGGGGCTACAGGGACTTGGAACAGTGTTAGACTGGGCTAAGTGCCTGTAGCTAGAAAACTGAAAGAGTTTTCTCCACCTTGAGTGGGCAGCAGGAGCAGCAGCACAGACAGCAGTGAACAGAGGCTATGGCTAAAAGCCAACAGATAAGAACTGAACTGGAGAAGCAGCAGCAAACAGTATGCAGCCAAGGAAGACACAAAGTTGTCTGAGAGAGCCAAGAAAGAGAGCCAGCAGGAGAGAGAGCAGACCTAAGCTCTCCAGACAGTTTTTGGGGTAAGAACTGAACCAAAGACCCCCAAACTCCATGGAGACCCCTCCTAGAAAGGAAGGGATGATGAACTTTTAGTCTTGGGGTATGTCATGGTTTGAGAGCTCTAAAAAAATCCAGTTCCCCAGTCCAAACCCCCTCCCACATGTTAACCCGGTGTGAGATGGTTTCCAGACACTACACAAAACTCAAAATGGGGGAAAGGGAATATATTACAATGACTGTACAAATAAATACTACAATACATTATATACAACCTTAGCTATCTCTACCATGACATAAAAGTATTTACAATGGATCAGATCTCTTCTCCCCTCTAAATAAAAGTCCAGGAGGGAAGAAGGAAAGATCCTTTCCACATTTACGGCAGCAACCTCTCTTCTGTCTTCCATGCAGCAGTTGTAACTGGATTGTTGTAGCTGGATCTCTTTTCAATACGCAGGGGTCTCCTTTCACCCCTCTCGCCCTTTGACTCCAAGCGAAGGTCTCACCTGTGGACTGCCAGCAGGGACAAAACTCGCTTCACCACAGGCATATCACGAAGTGCAGGGATATCTTCATGAACGTCCCTCAGGGGATTCACCTCTTAGTTGGAATGTCTCGGGCAGCTTTCAGTTGAAAGTCTTTGCCTCAGAAGTTCTACCAGAGCTTCTGTGCTCTGTCTCAAGCAGCGGGGGGGGGGGGGGGCAAGGTCACCCTCTCCGCATTCCTACTCCGTCCCGGTCCAGCTTTGCAGGGTGCTTTGAACTTTTCAGCTTCTCTCTCTGGTGCTGCATGTTGCATTTTAAGACTTCCATCCAGTAGGAGTCCACCACCCCAACTTAAGAGGAGTCTCAAAAGGGTTTGGGGGGTCTAGTTCAGTTCTTACCCCCAAAACTCTGTGTAGAACTTAGTCTTGCTCTCCCTCTCTTCATTAGACATCTCTGTGTCTTCTTGCCTGGCTGCAAGCCGCCTCTGCTGCTTTCTTATCTTTTGGCTCTCAGCCACTGTCTCTGGACGCTGCTTCTGCTGCTGCTCTGTCTCTGCTCACTCACGGTGGAGAAAACTTCTTCAGCTTTCAGCCACAGGTACTTAGCCCAGCATTACGCTGTTCCAAGTCCCTGCAGCACCCCCCCCCAGCCAGGGCTGGGGGGGCCCAGAGGCCCCAAGGGGCTCCGAGCCCCTTCCTCGTGGCCTCAGAAGATGGCTACCTCTTCCACAACAACTAACAACTATCTTTCTCTTCCGTTCTGCTTGTGATATGTTTATTTTTTGCAGAAGCGTTCATTGGGAAAACCTCAAAACTTCAAGGGTCACCACCCCCTGGGGTTTTACCATTTTATAACTTCAGGGGGAAAACTGTTTCCCCCCACCACAGAGTGCTACAGCACTACAAAAAAGAACTGAAAAGCTCAAAGAAAGAATGTGGAGAGGCTGACCTTGCCCCCCGTCCCCGCTGCTTGAGACAGAGCACAGAGCTCTGCAAAGGGAGACATGAATCCCCTGAAGATATGGACCGTCACCAAGACCCCTGATCTTTGTGATATGACCGTGGTGAAACGACTGTGTCCGGGTGAATGTAGCCCATGGAAAAGAAGACCCTCGCTTGAAGACGAGTGGCCAAGAGGGCTTGGATACCCTCTCGTGAGTACTGGCAGAGATCCAGCTACAGCTGCTGCAAGAGAAGAGAATAGATGCCTCCTGCCTTAGAGACATTGCTGTTCTGAGAGTGGAAAAGGATCTTTTACTTCTTCCCTCCTGGACTTTTATTTGGAGGGGAGAAGAGATTTGATCCATTGTAAATACTTTTATGTCATGGTAGAGATAGCTAAGATTGTATATAATGTATTGTAGTATTTATTTGTACAGTCATTGCAATATATTCCCTTTCCCCCATTTTGAGTCTCGTGTGGTGTCTGGAAAACCCATGTCACATTGGGTTGAGATGTGAGAGGGGGCTTGGACTAGGGAATTGGGTTTTTGGAGCTCTCAAACCATGACAAGGTCTTAGCGTGGGCCTTCAGTCGCCTTAGGTTGATTAGGCTTCCATCGGTACGATATCAAATGTAGATACCATCTTCTTCATTGAGGTCTGCCGTGACCCTTTGGAGCATCCTGCTGAAGAAGACTGTGAATAGGGTTGGTTCAAGAACACAACCTTATCTCACACCACTGCTTATTAGAAAGGGCTCAGAAAGTGCATTGCCATATCTGACTTGGCCGTGCTGATCCTCATGGAGTGAGATGATCATTTTAAGGAACTTGGGGGAACATCCTAAATGTTTCTAAATCTGCTACAGACCTTTTCTGCTCACAGTATCAAAAGCCTTGGTGAGATCAACAAAGGTTCCATAGAGACCTTTGTTCTGTTCCCTACACTTCTCTTGCAGTTGTCTGAGAACAAATCCCATGTCTGTGGTACTCCTGTTGGCTCTGAAACCACCTTGGCTTTCAGGTAGAAGTTCTTCTACTATAGCGGGTGTTAGTCTGTTCAGAAGTATTCTTGCCACGATCTTGCCAGCAATGGAGAGCAGAGTGATACCACGGTAATTTAGACAGTCTGATTTATCTCCTTTCTTCTTACACAACGTGATGATGACTGCGTCACGAAGGTCTGATGGTAGTTCACCTGGTTCCCAACAGTGCACCACAAACTCGTAAAATTTAGCATGGAGTGCTTAGCCCCCATGTTTCCAGATTTCAGGTGGAATTCCATCAACCCCAGCTGCCTTGCCAGTTTTCACCTGCTGTATGGCCTTAAGAGTTTCTCCCATAGTAGGGGTAATATCCAATTCATTCTTCACCGGTTGCTGTGTAATGGACGGAATTGCTGAGTCTTGAACTACACGGTTGGTACTGAAAAGAGTCTGAAAATGTTCAGACCATCGATTCAGAATGGAGGTTTTATCTGTCAGAAGCATTTGACCACCTGTGCTGAGTAAAGGGCTTTGAACCTGGTGTGTAGGTCTGTACACTGCTTTCAAAGCCTCATAGAATCCTCTGTAATCACCCAAATCTGCACATAATTGAATCTTTTCTGCTAGATTGATCCACCACTTGTTCTGGATGTCTCGAAGTTTCTGTTGGAGCTTGGTGCATGCAAGACAAAAGGCTGCTTTT